TTCTCTGGTGGAGGAAGATAGGAGGATAGGAGAAGAGCAGGAGGAAGGAGGGAAGTATCTTCTAAATCCTTAGCCTCTGTGCATTCTTCTTAAGCCACAAGGTAGAAGCTTCTTTATATATAAATTTATATATATACATATATTCCTACTTCTGGATCTCAGAGACTTACCTTTTATCCCTTTCAGCAGTTATGTACATTTTACCAGTTAAAATTCTAGGTATTAAATTTTCTGTGTTCACAAAACTGTTGTGTTCTGTCTTCTGCCAGGATCCTAATTGATGCAGATGCTAAATCTATGGGGAATGAATTTGATAAGGAATAGAATTTACAGTTACAAGAATCTATCCATAAAGCAATTATTAATTACAAAAGGAAAAAGTGGTAGCTATCAGTGGAAAAACTAGACAACATCATAACTGAGTGATTAAAATTAACGTCACCAATAAGGAGCAGATAGACATTATGTGTCTCCATATGTGAAAATCTAACAATATATCACCTATATATTTTCAGCCACAAAAAACAAAATCTGAATCTAATCATGAGGAAACATCAGAGAAACCTACATTGAGGAATATTCTATAAAATAATTAGATTCTGATCTTCAAAAAATAACTATCATGAACGACAAAGAAGGCTAAGAATATATAATAGACACAAGGCAATTAAAAAGATAACTAATGCAAAAGTAGACCTGACAGGGGGAACACTAAAATAATATTAATATTAGTTTGACAATTGATAAAACTGCAATATGAATTAGGTTAGTTTAGATAAGTGCATCACTGTTAAAAACCCGGTATTTGATAACTACTGTATAAGAGAATGGGCTTCCCAGGTGGCACTAGTGGTAAAGAACCCACCTGCTAATGCAGGAGACGTAATAGACAAGGGTTTAATTCCTGGGTTGGGAAGATCTCCCGGAGGAGGGCATGGCAACCCACTCTAGCATTCTTGCCTGGAGAATTCCATGAACAGAGGAGTCTGGCAGGCTATAGCCCATAGGGTCGCACAAAGTCAGATACCACTGAAGCGATTTAGCACGCATGCACGTAAGAGAATATCCTTATTCTCTTACAGTTTAGGAACTATTCTCTGAAGAACTAGAGGGTAAAGGAACATAATATTTGTAAGTTATTCTCAGAAAGTCCTGAAAATTATAATAACTGCTTAAAATCAATAAGTCTAAGTATTTGGGACATACAGCATTTCTTTGTAGTACTCTTTCAGCTTCTTCAATGGTTAAGTAATTTCCAAAAATAGTTTTTAAAAATTACTTTTAATGTTAAATGAAAACTTTTTCAAAAACAAAAAACTTTTTCAGATAACAAAATATGAGCTCATTTAAAAGGGAGTTCTTCACACAGAAAGAAAATATCCGAAACACAAAAATGCAAAAAGAAATGAAGAACCCCTCAGGGAAAGGATCAATATATATTAATAATGAATACAAATCAGTAATAAAATTTTGTGGGATTTAATGCAAATCAAAGACAAGATGACGGCAAAGAAGAAAAGAACAAGAAATACAAGGGGTAAGTAGAGTTAGTGTTCTAAATGTTTAGCATAATTGTAAAAGTGGTAAAATGAACCACTTGCATTAGACTGTGATAAGTCAAAGACTTATGTTAATATATCTAGGACAAATCAATAAAAGAATAAATAATATATAGCCAACAACCTAAAACAGGAGAAAATGAACTAATAAAATACTCATCGATCAAGAATAATGCTCTTTTGAGTGAAGAAAAAGATCAAATATAAAATAAGTCAGTCAACAGAAAACAGTGGAATTTAGGATGTAGTTACTTTAAATGCAAAAGGACTAAATATTTTCATCAAAGGTTATTTTAAAACAGTTTTTAAAAACTACATGTTATCCACCAGAAACATTATTTGCTCATTCTGCAATATGTAAATATGCCAAAATAACATGTTCTTCAACTTAACAATGTTACATCAATTATATCTCAATAAAGCTGTATTTCTTTTTGAAATACACCTTAATATTAGGTCAAGACACTCTAGGAAGAAATATTGCCATGCAAACATTAACCAAAAGAAACTTTGTAGCTTCATGAAACATTTATAGAAATTGACTGTGTGCTACATCATAAGTGTAAAGTCAAAAAATCCAAAGGGTGAGAATCATTCAGAGTATACTCTTAACCATGAGACAGGCTAGGAGTCAAAGTAAATATAACAGGTAAGTACCAGACTCCTTCAAAATTATTCTAGCACACACTTCTAAATAATTTATAAGATACAAACAATCAAAATGGAAATTAGTGTATGTTAAAATAAATAATTATGTAAATAACATTATCAGAGCTTAGGAAAAAGTCTGTAGTCTTAAATGTATATGTTAGAATATGTTTAAAAGGATAAAATTAAACAACTAAACTTTCATCTCAAGAAACTAGAAAAGAAGCCCTAAATCAAAACCAAAACAAAGTTGAAGGAGGGAAATAATAAAGAAGATAAGAGCAGAAAACAAGGAAGCAGTAAACAAAATTACAATAAATAAAAACTGACAAAGCCTTAAGTTCATTCTTTGAAATAATTTATAAGTTATTAGCAAGACTAATAAAGAAAATTAAATAAAACACAAATTATCATCATCAGGAATGAAGAGGGGAACATTACTATAGATCCTACTGTCATTTTAAAGTTAATTTTAAAACTTACAAACAATTTTATAGCAATAAATTTGATAATTAAACAAAATGGACAAATGAAAATACAAATTACCAAAGCTGACAAACAAGAACTAAAAATCAGAAGAATCCACGATCTTTCCACAAAGCTGAATCTATCATTTTAAACTTTCCTGGAAAGAAAACTCTAGACTCAAGACAGATTTACTGGTGAATTTTTCTAACATGTAAGAGAGGAATAATACCAATCATAACAAATTCTTTCAAAGCATTAAAAAAAAAGAGTGAATATTGACCAACTCATTTTATAAGACTAGTATAAACTCAATACAAAAAATAACAAACACTTCTCCACAGTAGCTGTACTAGTTTGCATTCCCACCAACAGTGTAAGAGAGTTCCCTTTTCTCTACACCCTCTCCAGCATTTATTGCTTGGAGACTTTTGGATAGCAGCCATCCTGACTGGCGTATAATGGTACCTCATTGTGGTTTTGATTTGCATTTCTCTGACAATGAGTGATGTTGAGCATCTTTTCATGTGTTTGTTAGCCATCTGTATGTCTTCTTTGGAGAAACATCTGTTTAGATCTTTGGCCCATTTTTTGATTGGGTCATTTATTTTTCTGGAATTGAGCTGCAGGAGTTGCTTGTATGTTTTTGAGGTTAATTGCAATATCGTAAAGTAAATAGCCTCCAATTAAAATAAATAAAACAACAACAACAACAAAGAAAATATATAAGAAGGAAAAAGCATAAATGAATCTCTCTCATGGGGATTGTTGCAAAATTCCTTTACAACATATTAGCAAATTTAATTTAGCAATATATTAAGAAGGATAATATATCACAGTCATATTGGGTTTATTATAAGAATTCAAGGTTTATTTAGCAAACAATGTAATTCATCTGATTATAGGAAGTAAAGGAGAAAAATTATGTGATTAACTTAGACATAGAAAAAGCATCTGGTAAAAAAAAAAAGTCAACAATAATTAAGATTAGAAATAAACTTTTTAGCAAAGTAGAAATACAAGGGAACTTTCTTAATGTAAGAAATATTCTCTCCAGTAAAGAAGAAGCCACCTACAGCAACTAGCATGCTACATGGTGAAACACTGATAACTTAACACTGAAAGTGAAACAAAAATGTTCACATTACTATTTCTTTTGACTATTGTATTAGTGGTCCTAGGTAGTGAGATAAGTCAAGAGAAATAAACAAAAGACCAAAGGATTGGAAAGGAAGAACTACCATTATTTGCAGAACACCTAGTTGCAAAGGTAGAAAATTTTTACAAACCCAAAGAGAAACTGGAATTAATAACTATACAAAAATCAAACATCTTTCTCTATACCAGGAACCAGAAAATTACTTACAGGAACATTTAAAAAAAACAAATATGTATCAATAAATTTAATAAAGTATGTGTAGAAAAGCATTATTTAGAGAAATAAAGGTAGAGCCAAGTAAATGGAGGAATATGCCACGTTTGTGCATGAGGGGTGTGCAGGACAATTCAACATTATCAATATGTATAATTGATTTATAGATTCAGTGCCAGTCTAAACCTCAAAAATTTTTTTCCACAGAAAATGGACACTTTGGTTGTAATATTTATATGGAAATTATAAAGAATCTTGAAGGATAAAACAAAACCTGAAGGACTTACCAGGTATTAACACTTCCTATGGGATTTTCCTGATAGTTCAGTTGGTAAAGAATCTGCCTGCAATGCAGGAGACCCCAGTTTGATTCCTGGGTTGGGAAGATCCCCTGGAGATGGGGTAGGCTACCCACTGTGGTATTCTTGGGCTTCCCCTGTGGCTCAACTGGTAAAGAATCCACTTGCAATGTGGAAGACCTGGATTCAATCCCTGGATTGGGAAGATCCCCTGGAGATGGGAAAGGGTACCCACTCCAGTATTCTGGCCTAGAGAATTTCATGGACTATATAGTCCATGGGGTCACAAAGAGTAGATATGACTGAGCAATTTTCACTTTCAACACTTACTGTAAATCTGCAATAACTAAGCTAGCATGACATTGGCACAAAAATAAACCAGAGATAATATTTATGGAACAAAATAGAGTCCATCACAGACCTGTGAATATAGAGCCATCTGATTTATGACAAAGCTGATTCTACAACGCAATGGGGAAAGCATGGTCTTATCAATATATTCTGCTGGATCCGGTGGATATTCACACAGGGAAAAAAATTTAATTAAATCCTCCCTCACATGGTACACAAAAACTAATTCCAGATATATTATAGCTTTAAATGTTAAAAATAGAACAATAAATTTTCAGAATCAAACACAAAAAAAATCTATGTCACCTTGTAATAGGCAGAAATTTCTTAAACAGGAGGCAAAAAGCACTGCTGCTGCTAAGTCACTTCAGTCGTGTCCGACTCTGTGCAACTCCATAGATGGAAGCCCACCAGGCTCCGCCGTCCCTGCTAGCCATAGAGAAAAAATGATAAATTATATATCTTGGTATGATCATATATACCAATATAATGACATAAAATTATATATATATTATGCATATAATATATATAATAATATAAGTATATGTAATATGTATATATAATATAATGTTTGTATTATTATATATATATATAGTAAATGTATATAATATATATAGGCTTCCCTGGTGGCTCAGATGGCAAAGAATCTGCCTACAATGCAGGAGACCGGGTCTTAATTCACAACAGCCCAGCTCTCTAGGAAACAGGGGAGTGGGAACAAATCATTGTGGTCCTGATGTCATTGTTGAGGGCTTCTCCCAGCATAACCATCACTGGCCTTTCGTGACACCTCTTAGCTGAACTTGGAGATCTGGAGCTAGGAAATCCATTTTCTGTTTCTAGCTCTTACAACATGGCTTGGCAGAGAGGAACTATCCATATACACTTATACATGAATAAATGGAAGAAGGAAGGGGGTCTAGAAGAAAGAATGGGAGGGGACTGAGGTGGGGAGGAAAGGAGAGTGGGGAACAAGGGAGGGGCTGGAGGGAAGCTGAGACCCAAGCACAGACAGGACCCAGGGGCTGGGTGACCTGGTGCCTCTGAACTGCAGTCCCCTGAGGCCTGGATCCCACCCATAGCCCTAAGCACAGCGACCATCTCACCCCTCAGGCATTCACAGGTCACAGAGGGACTGTCACTTGTTCTTAAGGGAAAGAACTGAACAGGAAGTGCCCAGGGCAACTGAGTCCAGTGAGCCAGGATTCCAGGCATCCCAGTCTCCAGAGAAGCAGTAGGCTTCTGAGAGATGGAAGGATGAATCCCCTGCCTTCCCTCTATTGCTCAGCTCTTCGCACTTGACCTGACCAGCCCTGGCTCCTGGAGGCCTTGCCTGTCAGGATCTCAGGTGTAGATGGAGCTTCAGCCAATCCAAGCTCCTCCCAATGGGCCACGATGCTGAGGTTTTATGGTCCTGCCTCCTTCCCAGGTTTTTCTGGGAGAGTGGGTGGAGGACCATCCCTCTGCCACCTGCTACCACCATCCCTGTCTCTGGTAGTGATGCCAAGATGGAATTCTCTGCCTGTTGTCAACAAGAACCCCACAAGAAAAAGGTCCCTGTGGACAGAGCAAGAGAAAACCACGCCCTGCTTGTGGAGGCATCGTGACCTGTCTATTTTCTTTTCCAGCCTTCTGAGGGATATGAATGGCTCAGGGGAGAGGCTACTGTACCTGGTCACCTTGTAGAGATGACAAGAACTGAAGGCCTCATGCTGATTTCCCTCTTACCTTCTAAACCCCATGTCCAACTTGTCAATTAGACCAAGAATGAGCCAAATCCCCATTCCTTACTGAACCACCTTGGACAAATCAAAATCTTCCTCCATTCCACAGAACAACTTGGACATGAGTTTACCATGGGGCACAAACCTTATAGAGATCTTGAACCAGGTCCTGGCAAAAGGTCTGGAAAGTAGGAATCAGCTGCATGTTACATACAAGGAGGTCGAGGCCCAGTGGAGACAAGAACCTGCCCAAGGACTCATATCTTCTAAGGGCACAAAGAGAATCTGAATCAGGCTCTGACCTGTTCTAGTACCGTCCTCTTAAACTTGCTGTTATTCTGCCTCCATGTTCACCTCTGGAAAAGGACAATAATAATATCTTAATAACCCAACTTTCTGGGGTTGCTGAGAGAATTCAGTGAGACATTGTGGTGAGATTCCTGCACAAGTCTTGCCTATGCTGCCCATGACTGAGTTCCCATCCTGCCTCCTGTCTGCACCTCGGTTCCTCATCCCTTCAGGAAGAGAAGTTTGGGCTCAGAGGTCCCTCTCAGTCGGCCACAGGTTCACTGACATTTGTCACTGAACTCAGAGGTAGGGAGAGATGTATGGAGCTCTCTGGGCATACATCTGGCCACGATGGGTACATCTACCCAACACAGAAACCAGAAAACAATACAACTCAGAACTGCCCCCTCCCCTCCCAGGATGGATTGTTAGGTATTTACCAGCACACCGCTGCTTCCAGTCCTGAGTCCTAAGAAGCCAGCCGTCTCAGGATGACCTAGTGCTGGAGGCTTCCCACTCTGCTATTGGCCAGGGTTGGCGGAGCCGGCAGTGAGCGACCCTCCTCCAGGAGGAGCCCAGCGCAGAAGCTCAGACCCTCTCAGCCCAGTCCTCTTGCCTGGCCCTGACAGAGGCTCCCAGACAGCGAGGCACAGCCTGGAACAGTCCTCTGGACCCTCGCTGGCCTCCTCACAACCCTCAGCAGGGCCGACCATGGTCGAGGCCTTCTGAAGCAGAGCATGTGGAAGACCAGTTCTGCACTCAGGGAGCTCCCAGGCCCCACCGGCTCCCTCCTTCAGGGATGAAGGCCAAGCTCACTCAGAGCCTACTGTGCACAGGCCTTGGGAGGCAGGGATCTGACAGATGAGAAACCAGTGTCAGAAAGGGTAAGGAGCTTGTCCAAACAAGATCAGAAAGCCTGATAACAGGAGGAGCCCAGAAGCACATGGAGGCCACTGCTGCCCCTCTTGGCTCTGTCTTCTGAGGCAAGATTCAGTTTCCATTTCTCTAAAATGTGGCAGAATCTGTTCTTCTCTCACAGATGATGACACAGACCCAGTGATGGCACACGTCAGCCCGATGCTCAGCACAGAGTAATGCTTCATGAAAGTTAATCCCAACCCTGTGTCTACTTCCTGATCCCGCTTCCCATTCCTTCTTCCTGGAATCACACCTTACAGGGAGGGGACACATTCGCTCCTTTATGGCATCTCTGAGCTGGATCCACTGTGTGCCCCTGAACCGTCCCTGGGGTTAGGAGTACCTGAGCATTCCATCCGGGGACTTCCGGTTCTTTGTGAGGCGAGGGCGGGGGACTCTGATCCCAAGGCTCCCTGCAACAATCAGCTGTTCGTCAGACTCAACTACAGCCTCAGAGGACTGCCCTGTGGGCGTCTTCTCCTGTACCCCAACTTCCTCACCGCCCCCCTACACACACACATACGTCCTCCAGCCTGATGGACCCAGAGATTCAGGGAAGAGAGGGAGCTGGGCCTGGAACTCAGGACAAATGAAAACTTGTCTTGTTAATCCTTTTCTTCAGAACCAGAATGGTTATGATAACCAACTCTTCCCTGAGCCAGGCCCTAACTCTTCTCCCCCATGTCACTGACCCTCACTTCAGCTCTGAAGAGATAGCTCATGCAGGACCCATTTGTCCATTGGATAGATGAAGAAATTGAGGGAGGTTGCAGTGACTTGCCCGAAGTCAGAAGCAATCTAGGATCAAAGATAAGATGAAACTCATGCCATTCTGACTCTTTAAATGACAGAATTACTTAAAAGGCTGTCAAGCTTGGTCCTACTATCCATCTACTCTCCATACTCCAGGTAAGTGATATGATCTGGAAAAAATGAGGGATTTGGCAAAGATCATGCAGCTAGATAGTGGGAGAGCCAGCAACAGAGCCCTGTTATGAACCTCTTGGGCCAGGGCTGTATCCACAATATCACAGGCTTCAGGGTTTGTGTCTAAACTAATGGCTCTACCTGAACTCTAACTGGAAATCCTTCCTGCTGTCCTGGAGCTGGTTGTGACCACCAGTGGGGCTGGGCCGGAGTGGGGGGTGCGGAGGGGGTTGGTATGAGGGGAAAGACTGGACTCTGGATGTTGAATTTTGAGCCAGGTGGGACTGCAGGCCTCAAGGAGAAGACGGTGGGCTGCAAGAAGGGAAAAGCTAGGGCTGTGGCAGTCCTAATATCCAGGGACTCTGTAATTAGCCCCAGGCTGACAATGCTTCTGGGAGGGGTTCCATGGGAATTAGCTCTCCTTTGCTAAGACAGGTATCCTAGAAAGTTTCTGGGTTTATGTCTGGGGAGGGAGCTGAGGGAAACGGTAGCAGTTGCTGATGGTACTAATGATCAAGAGTATCTTAGTGGTCCTTTGAGACAGCCTTGTACACAAAGCACTTTCATGTATATTTTCTCATCATGTCCTCCCAAACACACCTGGGAGGGAGGTGTAATGGTCCATGTTTTACAGATGATGACAATGATGGAGACAGATACTCACTGAGCACTTGTCATGGACTAAGTCCTGAGGGAGTCATTGATGCTGGTTTTGGTCAATTCGCTGCTCTCTAAGTCAGAAGGGGCTTCAAGGTCAACATGTCCAGTTCCCTACTCTCTTTTACAGCCATGAAAATTGAAGCTAGAGAAGGAAAGTCACTGGTCTGCATGAGGTAGTGTGTAGGGGATTAGAACCTAGAAGTCCTCCCTCCCAGCCATGGACCCATTCCATTGACTCTATGCTCCTTCCTCTGCTTTGTTCTCTAGGAATTTGAAGAGCTGTCCATCTGTGCAGTAATAATTAATTAGTTGCAGGTATCTTACCATGCATGCCCTCAGCATCTTGATTCCTGGGTATTTGTATCCTGCAAGACTAAATCTTGTGTGAGCCAACAAAAGTAACATATAGATCAGATAATAGGATTGCTGTTGCTTGGTCACTAAGTTGTGTCCAGTTCTTTTGTGACCCCATGGACTATAGCCCACCAGGCTCCTTCTGTCCATGGGATTTCCCAGGCAAGAGTGCTGGAGTGGGTTGCCATTTTCTTCTCCAGCAGATCTTTCTGACCCATGGGTCAAACCTAAGTCTCCTGCATTGACAGGCAGGTTCTTTACCACCAAGCCACCAGAAAATCCCCTGAAAGTGTTAGTAGCTCAGTCATGTCCAACACTTTGTGACCCCATGGACTATAGCCCACAAGCCTCCTCTCTCCATGGAATTCTCCAATAATGTCAACAACAAAACAATAACAATGATGCTGGTAAAAATAATAATAAGAGCAAACCTTATAAGCATTGCTTCTTATGTGTTTTACTTATAATAATCCATTTAATATTCAAAATATCCCTGAGTTAATATACAA